CCCCAAAACCCCAAAACCCCAAAACCCCAAAACCCCTTAAAGAATAACAATATTTAATTTAGTAAGTTATAATATGCATCTAATCTCGTGTCGGGGAGAAATTCCTTCGTCATGATAGTTTCTTTGTTATGTCACTTCTCATAGTTTACTGACATGCTAATAAATTCTAGGAGGGAACCTCATGAGTTTTAATGGTTACAAAGATGAAACTCCATCTTATTCTTCAAGCAATTCGTTTACCAAACCAAGCTATACTAATAGTGTTGATCAGTTCCAGGAATTAAAGAGCTTGTTAAAGAAGATGAATGGCAGAGGTAAGGTTATAGTTCATAATTTTTCTAGAAAATGGACCATTGGAAAACCTTTATTTTACCCAAAATACGAATTCTTTTATGTCCCTCGATCCACAAGCAATGTTAAATTTTAACTATGATAACAGTAATAGTAATACTACCTTGGAGAAAGTGAATTCAGATGATCCCGAATTTCAATTCTCGTTTCCTAAATCTTCTGTGACGAAGAAGAAGAGATCGCATATGGCTCAGCGGGCAATAAGGAAAAAGGCGAAATTCATGAATCAGCCAAAGACACTTAGAGACAATTTTCAATCGATGCCAGAATACAAAATTAATTTATCAGATTTGCATAAATAAGGTGGTGACAAACAGAGTTCAGAATAAAAGATTAATAACTCCAAGAAAACCTAAAATGACTCGAGATTTTTATCAGACTCTGAAGAATGATAGCAGCCGGATTATTGATAATGAGAGTACTGACCTTTCAGAGATAACTGAGGAAAGCTCTAGGCCTATGAATTGAATTAACAACACTATTAGATCGAAAAACATTAAGAATAAAGACGTAGAGATCATCAAAATAGAACCGAAAAATGCAGATACATCTTTAATTTCTAGCGCAAGCCAATCTAGCGATCTAGGGTTCATAAATCCTCCAGAAATAAAGAAGCACTGGTCCAAAAACACTTTCGGAAGGGTCGAATCAGAATTCCCCACCCAACGACTTCAACCCCCTCCTTCCCTCCCCTCCCATCCACCCCAAACAGTATTTCCCTTCCTCACATCCACAGCGCCCTAACCCCCCTCCCAACCCTCATCCTGCCCCTCCATCCAAAAGGTTTGACTACAAGTACAAAAAGAGGTACGTCTTTTCCCTCCAACCCAGTTAATCTCTTCTTAAAATCCCCTATCCTCACCTACCAATCTCTTGTGGAAACTTCTAATTCTGTACTGACCCTCCAAAAGTATGAAAGATTAGCCTTCGAATAATTTTCTCGCATAACTATGTTCTCAGAATTTAGAAATTTGGTCTGGAAATTAAGATTTTGGGAAATTCTAAAACTTGCTTATTGAAATTTTACGGTTTTTTGGAATTTTTAAGTGGGAATAGGTTGATTAAAAAACCAAAGCGACGAGTTATGCTACCGAAGAGAGTGGAGACGTATGAGGATGTCATCAAGCGGCTTTATGACACTAAGCCAGCACGTAATGAGTAATTTTTTAAGAGGGGTTTGAAATTTTCAATTTTGGGATTGGCAATTGGGGTTTTGGGGTTTTGGGGTTTTGGGGTTTTGGGG